AAAAAAAAAAAAGCAACCAACAACTTACTGCCACGTCAATCTATTTTCTAAAAAAATAAAGCAACCAACAACTTACTGCCACATCAATCTATTTTCTATTTCCTTTTTTTTAGCCTGTCTATTTATCATTTTGGAATGGAGAAAATCAACTCTTTCGAAATTTCAGCCTGGACCTTCAGACCTTCAGAATTCAATGAATTTCAGGCTCACAAATATTAAGTCAACTTTTATACCTTTAACAAAAATAAAAGATACTATATTGAAGTAAATTAAGTCTTCGTTTGACTTCATTATTTCAATTTATAATTTTAGAAATAGCATTTTTCTGGAGAATGTGTGGTTCAAAAAAAAATTCAATTTACGCGTAATATTATTTTATGGAAGATTGTGTGATTAAAAATAAGATAGAAAAGATTATAATTTGAAATAATGAGGACCTAACAGAGGCCTAAGTAAGAAATAAAAATAGATAGTATTAAAATATTTCATTTTCAATTCTTCCAAAACTCATGGTGGGAGAGGAAGAAAATAAAGAAAAATAATACTATATAACATCATTGGAGTTGTAACCCCAGTCTAAATGATATTAGATGATAGGTTGAATGAAATGTAAAATTAAATAACTCATTTAATTTCACCTGTCATTTTAGTGCTATTTTCATTGTGGTTGCAACTTCGATGAGATTAACATTATTCGATAAAGAATTATGTTCCTATTCCTTTTGGAATTTGAATTAATGAATTAGTACATTCCGCTTCCGAAACTTTATTTACCAACTAGATATGTTTTAAATCATAAAATATTTTGTATATAATTTTCGACTCTATATAAAAAATAATTTTATTTTTAGATTGAACTGATTTTTAATTTGTTAATATTTTATTTCTTGATTTCGTACTGTAATTTTGTCCAATATATTAGATGGAAGTGATAATTTGTTGATATTTATACACTTGATCTTGTAGATTCATTAAATTAGTTATTTTAATCGACAAAGCTATGATTTTTCTTTTTCATTTTTTTTTTTTTGGTGTAATAAACTATAATGTTATGAATTTTATTTTTAAATTACGAAGTTACAATTTACAAAGAAGAAATATCATTTTATCTCAATCGTAATAAACACAACGACTCTGTTATTATTTTTATTTTATTTTTTTGTTTTAAAGAAAAAAATAGAAGTTTGTTAAAATCTTATGAAATATATGAAATCCTATCCGATCAATGAAATTCATTAGAATCAATAAATCTTAAAAAAGTCAATAAATTCTGAGGTCATGTTACCATGTGTTTATTGTTATGAAAAGAAATAAATGAGAAGTCAATAGATTTGTATATATTATTAAGAATCAATATCTTATATTTATAGGGTCCAAAATAAAAGTTACAATTTGAATAAAATAGATCTCCTAAATTATATAAGATTTATCTATGGATCATGATAACACTAAATAATTATCAATAATTATCTCATTATTTTACAACACTCCCCCTTTGATAATTATTTGTACAATAATTAGCTCATTGAAACTTTATTTGTCAAAAATTCTATGTGGCAAAAATGCCAACAAATAAAAAAAAGAGTACAAATAATTTGGAGTAATAAAATACTGTTTCGTTAAAACCTTATCAAGAAAATCAAGCGGGACAAAACTTGATCGAAGGAAAAAGAGTACATATACTCCCCTTGATTTCAACTCTTGTATCAAGCTATTCATGTCTCGTACATTAATATCTTCAATATTACAATATTTAGTGAAATATGTCTCAAGTTGTCTTACATAGTTTTCAAATAACACCGTCTTTATACGAGACATTTATCATTCTTTAATAATTGTAGTAACATGATGATTCGAAAATAGCACTTGTTGATCTCTTCGAGAGTTTCACAAGAGAGTACACTTCTTGAGGATAAATACCTTGTAGATTAAGGACATCATTATATAAAGAATATGCCTCATTAAAATCTTATTAGGAAAATCGTATGGAAAAAATTCTAATGAAGGAAAAAGACTACATTATTCTTTTGAATACGCTAAAAAAGTTGCCTCATTAAAAATCTTGCAAGAAAAATCCATTGGGACAAAATCTTTCTCAAGAGAAAAAGATTACAGCACATATTCACTTCCCTTCATAATAATATCACTTGAATTATACTTCAAATATATTAAATCCTTTTGGGATAGTATCAAAACAATACAAGATAAATTATCTATAATCGCATTCATTACATGCACAACAAATTTCATGCACTGTCACTCTAATGAAATAGTGACTTGTGATTACATTCACCATATAATAACTTATCTATTTATACAAGTTTTCGAGACATTTATTATGTAAAGAGTTGTACATTTCATATTACGACTTTACTTTTCTCTCATTTTGCATAAGTATACACCTTTTGATGTTCGGACTGTAGATCTAGAAACTTTAGGTTTCTCTAGTAAACTTAATTTAGTATGATCTCGTCATTTCATTTGACCAATCATTACCTCGATTGATAATATTTTGATATTCATAATATAATGTAGTATATCACCTGCGAAAGTATTGTCGACAATTTTTCTTTTCAATTATATTTCTTTTCCCATAATGACATAAATTATTGAGATGTCTCAACTTTCAACATATCAAGTACTTGAACCTGTTATGGGGTTTTATAATTTGTTGTGTCTAAATACTCATCAAGACTATATGCCTCCTTAGTTTGGACCATCTTTGGCAATTACTCCACTTTCGTTCGAAAATTTTTTGTATTAGAATCAAACACTATCATGCTTCAAGCGTGCCATAGAAATGTCAAATATAATGCTATCAAATTGTCCTTTTAAGACATCAATTTGTGTTTGAGCATTTAAAACTTGTGTGTGAGATATTGGTTATCTCTATGATTAGTAAATGAATCTAAATAAATTTTATTTTGAACTTCTTATTCGAATAATATTTTGCGATGATTTAGATGATGATGCATTTATATATTATTCTCAACTTCTTAATTTATGTCCCTAATAATGAGAGAATTGTCCAATCAAATTAATAATCAGTAAATTGCGGTATCAAATATCGCCTATTCGAGATAAGAGTTAAAACTACGCAATTATTCTCAGCATTCTTTACTTCCCATCTCAATACATTGTGATGGATCAATTTTACATATATACACTATCGAAATAATTAGGCTCTGACTATAAATCAATTATAATAGGAGAACTATGATTGGTATGGTGCATAATAGAATTTTCTAAATAAAAATAGGAAATACTTTGTTCTCAATTAAATTAATTAGAAGCGTTTCACAAACAATAACATTAAACCATTTACCGACATCTCAACTAACACTTATTAAAATGTTGAGGTTTATGCCCACTAACATTAACAAGACACAATCTTGATTGTATAAGTAATTTTGCAAACTTCAGATTGCGAGTATTATGCATTCATCTAGTAAATGTATCAAATCTATTAGATACAAATAATATTTAGATAATCAACGTGAAGGATGATGGGATCTTATTTATCATCATGATTAAAATTTCCAGTAATATAAATTCCCTATTTTAGCTAGTGATGTTTAATGATCAAATTTTGATATTAAAAAAAAAAAAAAGAAAGAACAAACATCATATAGAATTTAATTGGATTGAAGAATCTTCTGGTTCTTCATTGAATATCCATTTGAATTTTTAAAA